GATTACTCATTTTACAAAATATAGGTCTCCATCTTTTTTAATGGAAAAAAAGAGACTATAGACATAGCTACTAGTTTACATAATTAAGTAGACAGATATATGGATAGAAATTGAGCAAAGGTCAAATTGCTGCAAGCTTGCTTTATGGAGTGGAATTGCTATTTTAGTAGTGCCATTAGGAATAGGAAATATGCCTGCATAGCACAATTTGTAATTGTGTATCTGTGGCCAGAACTGTAACTGGGAGGGAAGGTTGAAGTTTTCATGGCTGTGTTGATTAAAATAATGCATAATTATGATGCTGAGGTTTATTAAAAATTCTAAACTTATGAGAGCCAGTTTAGTGCAGTGATTGAGACATCAGGCTATAAAGCAGACCTTTGTGTCTCTGGGCCAGTCAACATTCAACCCTAGGAAAGAGGTAATGGCAAACTACATCTGAAACACTTTGCCAAGAAAACTGCAGGGACTTGTCCAAGCAGTTTTTGAGAATCAGACATGATTGAACAGAAGAAAAAAAGAACTAAAACATAAGGATGTAAAAAGCACCCAAATTCTTCGTTTGAGATGACATTCACATGCTTTACAAAAGCTGTTCTTGCCTTGTTTGCTACAGAAATTGCCAGGTAATCCCATACAACTCTGTTGGTATAGCATATTTTATTATCCAAGAGCAAACTGCACTAACATACTGTACAATCAAGTTGCATCATGTATTTGTATTATTGGTGTTTTCCCTCTTCATATCTCTTTCAAGATATACTTTTCCCCTCACATAAGAACAGTTTAATTCCTTGGCACTGCTCTAAATAATTTGTCTGATTTGCGCAAAGAAAATTAGATCCAAATATTTATCTCTATTTATTGAAATGTCCTCAGTACATAATGTTTTTCCCCTTCAGCTTGTAAAAAAGTGCCTCAGCCTTGCACTCGGCTATACTCTGAAACGAAACCTTTTCCAGTCTGGGAAAGAGGTGTTTGCCATTATCTGTAAGTATTGTCTTGAGCATTTTTTCCCCTTCACATATCAAAGTTCAGATTTTAGCCTGCTATCCCTGACGCCGTCTGTTTTTTTATTCCAACCCGCCTGTTTGCTTTTTTCCATAGGAGGCCCAGGGAGGAGGAGGGGGGAGACATGTCTTTTACACTGAATTTTAGATTTATACTACAAATAACATTTTTCTGCCTCAAAAATAGCAAAATAGTATTAACTTTCACCAATCGCACCATCAAAAATTGGCAATATGGTTTTGAGGAAACTGCAGGTTGCCTAACTCTGCTGAGGCTTTGGGGGAAATGTGTGAGCCATGTCTTTCTGCTAAGTGGTTTTATTAAGGCACTGGGGGATTGTTACTCTTGCACAGTAAAAAAAAAAAATCCAAGAGATTTAAGCTCTGGGATTTAATTTACAACCCGCACTATACCTCTTTATGGTCAAATTTGCCTTCATTCTTTGATATATGTTTGTTTTCCTATCAGATACAAGAGAGTCTACAAAGTGCATCAGGACATTTGCTATAAGGAGAGTTGTGAGAGTACTGTAACAAATAAGGCACTCAGCAGGTAAAACAAATGTAGTTTTTATAAGCCATCATTTGGGAAGAAATCCTAAGAATGCCTAACCTCCAATTTCTCATAGCACCAATTACAATTTTTAACAGTATGGTGAACACCATACAATCTGGATGCTAATTTATGGGGGACTTCAGCCAATTTGGATATTGTAAGCCAGCTGGTTGACCTTGAGCCAATCACTCTTTCTCACCCCTAGGAAGGAGGTAATGGCAACCCACTTCTGAAAAACCTTGTCAAGAAAACCACAGGGACTTGTTCAAGCAGTCTCCAAGAATCACTTATGAAAGATCCTTAATACTTTAGTCAATACTTTATTTGTTGTTTCTTTGTCCCTTCTTTTGCCTAACACACTGTTGGAATTAAGTAGCATCAGAATAATGAAGTTCTTAGAAATAAGTTACTGTGCAAGATAAGTTGTCATATATTAAAACTTCTCTTATTTCAGAAAACAAATCAACAGGCACTGAAACCCACAGTAAGTATCTTTATTGGGCAATGGATGGGAATGAGGATTCCATTAACTGATATACCACCTAAACCATGGAGTTTAGATACTTGATAAATTAGAGTTCCTTGGACAGGAAGTGTCCGGGCTCATTTTATAATTCCCCATAACTTAAACCATGGGTAAAGCATCATTGACGAGCAAATATTTATATCTCCTTTTTGAAGAACCTCTAAGATATTGATACCTGCCAAACACTAGAAGGAAATTGTATTTATATTCATTGAATGCCACAGAATATCTTGTGAATAGAATGGAATTAGCAAGGCATGCAAATAATGACTGTTTTTTAATTTGAAAAAATCAGGAATAAGAAAATTCATGAGAACATATTCAATATTTATATTTATGTAACATTATATATATTATACATTACATTTATATTTTATGTATTATAGAGCTAAGCAAAACGAGGCTTCATAATATATAGGAATGTGTCTTTTCAAATCATTAAGGCAGCCAAATTATTCATGCAGTTACTCTGGAAGATGCTCCTAGCTGCATGCATGTACCTGTGCAGACAGCTAGGAACAGCTCACAAAGTAGCCATGTGAGTCTTGCAAATGATTCATTGGTTCTGTTTGAAAACAGGTGCTTTGTATGTTCTCTTATATGCTGCAAATCACTTTTAAGGTTTATTCACCCACAGTATGCCTCACCTTTTAAATATATTATATTACAGATTTTATTTCCGCTTCCCGATAAAGAAATGAAAAGTTAGTGCTCATTTGATAATGGCTGGTGGAAAACAGTCTCTCATTTTAAGGTTGTTTCTCAATTCTTAAATGGAAGAGGAAGATTCCCTCCATTAATTCTTCTACTGATGAGTGTCAAGAGTTGTTGTACCAACAGAATTCCTCACCGTGATCCTACTTGCTTTTGGAGTACCAAGGAACTGCCCTCAAGAAACGCTGAATAACAGTGATCTGCTACAGATTTTAATTGCAACGTGAATAGAGAACAAATCCATTTATTAATTTACAATCAAAATGCAAATATTTGGCGTGAAATTGAGAATGATTACATCAGTATCTGCAATACTGAACAATCTAGATTGTCTTCAGCTATATACTTCATCCCAAGGATACCATAGCTTCATCATGTCAGTTGACTGATTTTTTTTTTTAAAGGGGAGAGGAACTTAGCTGGAACAAAGGACTTTCTACCTTTTTTGTTCAAGAGATGTTTGCCATATAGCCCCTTCTCTTCAGCAAGATTATAATAACACTTTCATTTTCAGCTTCTTTTCATCATAGGATTTAATTTCTTTATATAAGTTGAGTAAAAGTTCTTTTGCAAGCTACCGGCAGAACAGTACTCAAGCTTTTCACAGTATTTGAGATTTGGACATATAATCTGATTAATGGACTGCCTCAAATCTGAGTCCTGGGGGAAAAAAGTGTTCTCTTTATAACCTAAAAACAAATCTTATTGCCTCAGAAATTGACCCCCTTGGGGTTTTTGTTGTTGTTGTTCCTTTGCAAAATTAATGTAAATGAAAAATTATCCCATTTTTTTCAGCCAACTCCCTCAATTCCTTACTAACAAATTATTAGCACTTCATAAGTTAGAATAATGAAGAAAAAATTGGCGGCGGCGGCAGCAGCAATAGAGCACGCTACCTGTCTTTTAGAAAAGCCAAACAGACTTTTAGTTGTTCTGCCTTCCAATGCTGTTTATGACAGTTTCTATGCTTTCATAAAGAATTTTCCTGAAAGCCTTAATGTTTAATAGGTAAAGTATTTCCTTTGATATTCTTAAAAGACAAAATTGTGATGCCAATGGGGAAAAAAGACTTTCATCCATCTTCAGTGGTGTTTATTTTGCAAAACACGATGACTAGCCTTCAAAAAAGCCTTACTATTACCTAGCCTTTGTGAACCATATGACTAGTTAAAACTATAAGGTTGTGTTTAAATAGACATATATTGTATTTTATAAAACAATACAACTAGAGAGTCATAGTTTTAAATTACTCTTCTGGCAGGTATTGGATTATTGCTGAAAAGGTGCACCCGTTGCCTGCAAAATAAGTCATGGCAAATTTTAAGAGCTGTAAATATTGTTTATTTAGCATAGAGGAGCATATTGAAAAGGGGATATTTTTCTAATTGGAAAGACAATAATCCTTGCTATTGGCAGAAATACCGTAGCACAAAGTGGTTCCAAAGTTCCTTCAATCTTTTAATATTTTAACTAGTTTTTACTTGTCTTATAACTTTTAAGCTGCCCAGAGTCACCTTGTAGGGTAGATGGGTGGTATAAGAAATAAATAAAATTTAAAAACCTGATAAGTCATCAAGAGATGCTTAGCTGCATTCCTACATAAGTTATTTATGTGTGTTGTGAGTAATGGGTAATACTGTCCATTTGTGATTCTTTTCCCTGATAGGGATGGCACAACACTAAAGGGCTACAAATTAAAAATGTAGAATTACAACTTTTAAAAACCCAATAGTCTTCTGCTACAATCAATGTAGCCAGCAGAAATATTCACACATTCATTTATATTACCTGGTTGAACTGGTGCATTGTTCCCTTTACTTCTGATGTTTAGATGTGCCCTACAGTAACACAACCTGCACACAAGAGAGCCAGCACCAGGCTTAAGAGAATTACTGTGTAAAAACTTAAGATTGTCGCAGAATCTGGGGAAAAATAACCAAATGAGAACTGAGCATGGTCAGCAGAAAATGTGTGTTGGGAAGACTACAAGAGGAAGAAGGAAGTGAAATCCTTGAAATTTTGAACAACTACTTTAGCACTGCAATTACGCTACGTATTTGGCTTATGAGAACCATCTCACCTTTTAACGAGGATATTAAAGTTTCCAAGAATAAAGAGAATGAAGGGGTAGCGCCAAAATATTACGTTTTTCAAAATCCAAAATAAACTTTTAAAATAGTATCTGCAAAAGACAAAGGGTATGAAAGATCTTTATTGCTTGTTCCTTGTTTGTCACAATTTTTCCTAGAGACTGTCTTAAGGCAGAAGAGGACCTTTATCAATCCAGTATTCTGTAATCAGATCAAGGCATATGTAATGCACCAATAAAGTAAAAAGGTTTTATTTTATTAAAGTTACCTTGTTTTTTTTTCATTTTAGACTAAATATATACTTTATTTCAAAATCATTCTGCTTTTTTTTTTTTTTAAGAATGAAAGGATTCCTGGAGTTAGCTATAAAAATTGCATTTAAAAAAACATTTCTTTTCAAATAAGGCTACCATTTAGAAACTTTATTTAAAGCCATATTTATGAATTGATATTTTGAATTTGATTTCCCTACCTGCCTTTTATTTTTTAATCTCATTTAAAAATATTTATTTCTCTATTATCAGAAGTATCCATCAGCTCCCTCCTTCCTATCTTAAAAAGGCAAGCAACTACTACTACTACCAGATAGCAAAAACTTCTAATTGCAAAATTATTCAGAATCAGCTCCATCATCGTTCTCTGAATCTGATAATTCTTCCATTGTTTCCTCCTGTTGCTTCCTCTGCTCTTCTTCATCGGCCAGCAACTTCTTAAAGACCTCATATTCTTCAATTGAAGAGCAGGCTATTTCAGTCACAAAATCCTGTTCAGATGCTCTAATAATTCTTTTCAGTTTGGGATTGACAATTTGGGTCTGTCCTTTCTTATCAGGAGTTTGATAGTGTCCCAAGCGCTCCAAAAAATGTATTCGTTTGTTTATTTCAGCCAGTGATGCTTGGAAGAAACCAGACTGCACTATCTCTGCATGTTTAATTCCCATCCTGAAATAGGCAAACTAAAAAACAGAGATTATTAAGTGAAAGAATAAACACTAACATTGTAGTACAAAGAATGTAAGTCAAGGACACAGTTCAACACAGAAGTACACAGAATTGTGTCTGTTAGTTTCAAGAAGGTTGTGCTCTTAATATATACAGGCACAACTTGCAGCCTGCAAGAAAAAATCTTTCTTTATTCAGGCATGAAATGTGAACAAGAAAATTTGCTCTAGAGCAGGGGTCCCCAACCCCCGGTCTGTGGACCGGTACCGGACCGTGGCATGCCAGCAACCGGTCCAAACAAGCAAAGCCCCATCCATGGGATGCATGCAGCACACAAAATCTTTCTCCACGGAACCAAGCCCTGGTGCCCAAAAGGTTGGGAACCTCTGCTCTAGGGGGTATTGTCACATAAAATATACTTTTATTTTAAATAGAGAATCAATTGGGATGTGAAGGAATTGAAACTGCTATATGTGTTAAAATTCAAGCATTATAATTAGTTATGATAATTGGTGCTAATGGAATTGAAATCTAAGTAACCAATCCATGTTGTGGTAGATTATGGATGAAAAATGGGGGGGGGGCGCTCTGTTTTTTAATTGCAAACTTCCTTTAGCTATATTTTTCTACTATTCCTTAGTATTCCTTACTATTTTCTGTATTTTGCCCCACTATTTTACGGAAAAATCAAGCAAATAACCAGCTTTCTAACTTCCAAGGCATTTGAGTGTTTATGTTCTAAAACTGAAAGGGAATTTGGCAATTTTAATTAAAAAAATGGCTGTGGAAATAAAAATTTGAACAGAGTAAGCCATCCAGGAGAAAATGGGTTATTGTAAAATTTCACAGAATTAGTAAATCATAAACCTGGAAGGAGTCTGAGAACTCATAGGTTCCAACCCCTTTCTCAGTAGAGGATGTGCTAAAGCATTTTAGGTAATCAAGTCTCTATTTGAAGATCTCCAATAGGAAGAATTGTGCCACTCCATGAGCAACTAGTTCCACAAGTATAAAGTCTGATCAAGGCAGAGTAGAGTGGGACAATTACTTCCTGTGATCTGGACTTTATGATTCATGTACCATTTTCAGCAATTGTTAGAAAAAAGGTATAACAATGGAAGGTTCCAATTTTAAAAAAATGACAGAAGGAAAATACAGTTAAAGTTTGGTGAAATCAAAACATTAGGAAGCAAGCTTCCCTAAAATAAGATATGAGGCCAAAGTCTTCAGCATTATATCTTCAAAAGCAAGAAATATAACATAGATTCAATAGATAGATATTTCTCAGAATCCATATAATAGAGTTTAATAAGCAAAAAACAAAGTGCATAGAAACAAAATTTTCTAACAATTATATTATTAGAGACAATATTTTAAAGAGTGGCAAATGCAACTATTAAAAAAAATCACATTCTGAAAACATATTGAAATTTCTTAATATATAAAATCTCTTAATAAAACATATTTATTTTAGAATTGATCAAATTCAGCAATAGAAAAGTGTACCACTTTGTGGAATCTGACATCAGCAAAGTTGTTCTGCAAATACCTGGAATTTGTATTCTACATCATTTAACTCTTCTAAAAGGAGCTCTGGACTTGTTCGTAGAATTTTTGATACTTGTGCCATTGTGAAGAGACATTTTTCTTTAAGGAGATTCTCTAGGGCTTTGATTCTCTTGGGTGGTATTGTAAAAATACTTGGAAAATGTACTGCCA